TAAGGCATCCGTCTTAGCGTTGAATGTAAAGAAATATGTACATACAAAACAAACAAACAAACAAACGCCTTCATGGTGGAGTATGGGCTCCTTATTTTAGGGGTCAAATAAAGCCTGAGCCACGCCCATATTGCTTTCAGTTAAGGGTGGACTTTCTCAAAGTTCCTCGCTTCTCGTTTCCGGTTCTGGTAGTAGGCCCCAGAGCTCCCGCTCCCTCGCTCTCTTTGCCACCGAAAACATTAAAAATTTCTATCTCACGCAGTGCGCTCTAGAAAAATTTTGAGCTCGACTTGAAGTCTAAGTTAGGGGTTTAATTAATTCTGACTTTCCCACGAGCATCCCTGTCTCCTTCATATGGGAGTCTTCCTTAGGATTTTAAATATAATTATAGCATATTTACCTCACTCCAATGCAAGCCATATGGGATGAGTAACATGACTTGGCCTTTACCATCCGCTGCTGGAGCCATCATACTCAAATGATTACACACTCCTTCGTGCAATCCAAACTTTTCAAAACCACGATAACACGCCGCTAAATCAACACGTCTCCGCCAGTTTTCGCGTTTTGCGTCTTCTACCAGAACATCAGTTTTAGAAACTGTGTGAAGCCTTCGCGCTTGAAGACAACTGACTTTGCCTCGACTGAATTCTGTGTTCAGGAGCCGACTTACGAAACGAGAAGGTTGGAGGGGAAGACGTGCTGCTGCGGCCCTCATATTGTACGCTCAATCTAAAAAGACAAAAAAGGGTTGTGTTTACATCAGCACTGGAGTGAATTAAAAAAAAGTCATCACAAGGTTTCGGATGTGGACAGTCTATGAGTAATTGTGGCTCCTGTAAATATCTAAATGCAGTTTTAAAATTACGAGTGGAAAAATATGTTTTACAACTTGTACGAAAAGTAATGTTGACAGGACAAAAAGAGCTGTTGACTGGAAAATGCATCTTGTTTGTTAGTAGTCGCGAGAGAGTCCGCTCCGAAAAGTCAGCGTCGAGTCGTGCTAGTCGTAAGGATGAACAGCATCATTATCGACTCGGCAAAATAGAGTTTCAAATCGTTGTGGTTACATGAAACTGTTCTTTCATGATATAAATGTGATAGACACCAGAATTATATTCTTCTGTAGATACTTACAGAGAGGGCAGTGAATAAAAGTGCGAGCTTCGCGCCTTCCTCGAGGAAAAGTGTCCAATCAAGTGCCATATTAATGGTCACGTGAAACGGGCTGAAATTTGAAACACGCGACCAGGAAAAGCGGCTGATGTTGTACTGTGTACGTCGAGGTTTTATAGCAAAGTATTTTGTATTTCCCTTCAATTTTCCAGTTTTACTCACGCTCATTGGTTCTTTCTCTGGAATTGCTTCCTTTGAATGTCAAAGAAGTTTTGTTAAACGTATGAGAATGGCGTCTGCTACCGAGCCTCGTGGTAAGTTAAGCTTATTGATAATGAGCTTAAAAACCGAGTTTTTTTGCCTATGAACAAACATTTAAGAACTCTCGAAGTATTTCAACGCTTATTTATATGCTTTTAAAAACTTATCACTAAATTAATATTTTTAAGAACATTCTACCAGCGCTGGTGTCGCCTACGAAGTCATATTAAGTCCCAAGGTGGAAACTGCTAGAAAACCCCGCCTAACTCCTCTAAGAGGAAAAGAAAACAAGAAGCAATTGGACGAAAGGATGAAAGCAGCTGAAGAAAGAAGAAAGGTAAAAATGAATTATTGTAATGAAATTTGTCGTACATCAATTGCAAGAACTAGTTAAACTCAAACTACGGTTACTCTTGAAGTAGATACAATTTTTATCTTCCAATCCTCTTCGTTGGCTTGCAACTGAATTGTAAAAAATACTAACCTTTTTACTGTACCACTCGATCAAGCGATCAAGCCATTTAGCGTAAGTTAAATTTAGCCGGAGCCGTATAATTTTTCATATTCGTGGGCCTCTTTTTAGGGAGGTAAGCTTAATTTGACCTGCCGAACAGTCTGAAAATATTAGGTGGGTTCACATCTACAGTATGCCCTCAGGTGCACATTCTGTGTTAGGGTGCATTTGAGTTCTATGCTTATGTACTTGATGAAGTGCACTTTAGATTTTGCCTGGGAAAGGGGTTGATGCCAAAAAAAAAAAAACCAGAACAGCGAACGTCTTTTGTTCAAAATGTTTTTTATTGTGTTGTTCAAATCATCAGAAACATTGCAAGGAGATCTGCATGTCTCATGCACTGTACAAAGATGAACCCACAGTCCTTATGACGAAATAAGCTTGTCACATTATTTTGGATAAGTTCACTCTTAAGTGAGACCATAAAAGCGTTAACTGAGATTGCACTTTGAAACTTGGGTAACTCAGTCAGTTTTTTAGTACCTGTTGTGTTGTAATGATGGTGGTTTAAGTCCCATTAGAGCCTAAATGATAGGCATTCCTTNTAAAAATGAATTATTGTAATGAAATTTGTCGTACATCAATTGCAAGAACTAGTTAAACTCAAACTACGGTTACTCTTGAAGTAGATACAATTTTTATCTTCCAATCCTCTTCGTTGGCTTGCAACTGAATTGTAAAAAATACTAACCTTTTTACTGTACCACTCGATCAAGCGATCAAGCTATTTAGCGTAAGTTCTATGCTTATTTACTTGATCAGATGAAGTGCACTTTAGATTTTGCCTGGGAAAGGGGTTGATGCCAAAAAAAAAAACAGAACAGCAACGTCTTTTGTGCAAAATGTTTTTTATTGTGTTGTTCAAATCATCAGAAACATTGCAAGGAGATCTGCTTGTCTCATGCACTGTACAAAGATGAACCCACAGTCCTTATGACGAAATAAGCTTGTGACATTATTTTGGATAAGTTCACTCTTAAGTGAGACCATAAAAGCGTTAACTGAGATTGCACTTTGAAACTTGGGTAACTCAGTCAGTTTTTTAGTACCTGTTGTGTTGTAATGATGGTGGTTTAAGTCCCATTAGAGCCTAAATGATAGGCATTCCTTAAGGCCTATTGACTGATTAAAGGCAAAGCTATCATTTTGTGGCATTTGACGTTACAGCACAACTCCTAATCTTAGGTATTTTGTGGTTCTTCTTATGGGCTGACCTTTAACAAGTTTGCATTTTTCGTTGTTTTAATCTGTCTCATCAACACCATCTTGAATTACATCATGGACAGACCATGGTCACATGTGAGGCAATACAAAAACGCTGATGTACAGCAGATTCGCCTTTTGGCCAAAAAACTGTTTAACCATGAAACTCAAGATATTGCACAGATTCTTGATGAGTGAATTAGTGAACCGGTGTGAGCAACAAATAAAACAGAGTACTGGACTTTTTGTTGACACCCTGGTTAGCCACCCTTCCCCTGGCTTTTTCATGCAATAATGGTGCAGCTTTTTTTCTGATGTTTGTGCGACACACTTAGTGTTGTCATTCTAACCTATACAACTTTGTATTTCATTCTCAACATTTAAGATATCACAATTTTTGGGGGGAGATCAGTAAATTTACTCTGTTGCATTTCTGTTTGCACATCCAATCAAAAGATACTCTAATGCATTGTATTATCTATTTTTACTACTTTTAACTAGACAGTGTTCTCCTTATCAGGCGGTAACTGGTAAAATTTACCGCTTGAAGCAGCACTTCTCACTACCTGCAACCGCTTGAAAGTTAATTGTAAGTTGTTTTTAAAAAAATACAGAAGTTGTGATCCGATCCCATCCTCACAAGAAAATCAATGAAAATAAGGAAATTATACAAGTATGCACAGCTATTGTCACTGGGTACTTTATTTGAAAATTGCTGACTTGTACCTTTCAAATCAATGCAGGCTAGCAATTTTTTTTACGGGCTTCTCTCAATAAATTCATTTGTGCAGCAACATTGACGTGTGCCTTAGTTGCAGCTGTATTTCATTACTCATCATGAAGTGACAGCAGGCCATGCTGTCATTTTTGTCCGTAGAAATCAATCATAAGTGAGGCCAAAGAGGTAACAGTACATAAGAAATTAACAATAATAATCTTTCTGTGTAAGCCTTTTAAGTCTTCTATATGAATTCAGTTTTGATTTCCTGGAAAGTTCAACTTCTTTAACTTTTGTTACTTAAGTGAAAGTAGTGGCAAAGGCAGGCTTCAGTTGTAAAATTCTTCGTCGTGAGGGCTTTAAATACTTTTTAGGTCAATTGGTTGAAAGAATGTTCGAAAGTAAAAGCCTTGATGGACATGATAGTTTTCCAGATATTAAAGACGGGAAACGAGTCTAGCAATTTGAAGCAGAGAACCTGCTTACTTTTAAATGCTTCACAATCATGGATTCAAAAGCGGGGGCCGCTATAGTGAACACTATTTCTAGTCTTTATATGGGCCATGCAGTATCGAAAGAGAACATTTAAGACAGAATAAAATAATATTATCGGAAGCAAACATTTTAAATTGCCATCTAAAAATTATACGACCCAGTTTGTGTAAGGTCTTATAATAAGGAAATGATAGGACATTTCAGAGAACTTTGCTCCTAAGGGACTTGTCAGAAATTAGCAGGGGGGGAGGGGAGGTGGGAATTTTAAATTTGGGTCCGGAAATTAGATGACCCATCCCTGCAATGGGAGTGAAATTTGCTAACCCTCCCCTTGAGCTTGGCCTAAAATATCATGACCCTCCCCACCTTACAGAATTGAAAGAAAAATGTTCCAGGCTCTTTAGGGTGTAGTATTCCAATAGTGAGACCATAAAAGCGTTAACTGAGATTGCACTTTGAAACTTGGGTAACTCAGTCAGTTTTTTAGTACCTGTTGTGTTGTAATGATGGTGGTTTAAGTCCCATTAGAGCCTAAATGATAGGCATTCCTTTAAGGCCTATTGACTGATTAAAGGCAAAGCTATCATTTTGTGGCATTTGACGTTACAGCACAACTCCTAATCTTAGGTATTTTGTGGTTCTTCTTATGAGCTGACCTTTAACAAGTTTGCATTTTTCGTTGTTTTAATCTGTCTCATCAACACCGTCTTGAATTACATCATGGACAGACCATGGTCACGTGTGAGGCAATACAGAAAAGCTGATGTACAGCAGATTCACCTTTCGGCCAAAAAACTGCTTAACCATGAAACTCAAGATATTGCACAGATTCTCTGATGAGTGAATTAGTGAACCGGTGTGAGCAACAAATAAAACAGAGTACTGGACTTTTTGTTGACACCCTGGTTAGCCACCCTTCCCCTGGCTTTTTCATTCAATAATGGTGCAGCTTTTTTTCTGATGTTTGTGTGACACACTTAGTGTTGTGATTCTAACCCATACAACTTTGCATTTCATTCTCAACATCTCTGAACCTTCTTTGCCCAGTAACTGAGTAATTTTCTTGTTCACTTAGGGTTTAAGATATCACAATTTTTTTTGGCAGATCAGTAAATTTACTCTGTTGCATTTCTGTTTGCACATCCAATCAAAAGATACTCTAATGCATTCTATTATCTATTTTTACTACTTTTGACTAGACAGTGTTCTCCTTATCAGGCGGTAACTGGTAAAATTCACCGCTTGAAGCAACACTTCTCACTGCCTGCAACCACTTGAAAGTTAATTGTAAGTTGTTTTTAAAAAAATACAGAAGTTGTGATCCGATCCCATCCTCACAAGAAAATCAATGAAAATAAGGAAATTATACAAGTATACACAGCTATTGTCACTGGGTACTTTATTTGAAAATTGCTGACTTGTACCTTTCAAATCAATGCAGGCTAGCAATTTTTTTTGCGGGCTTCTCTCAGTAAATTCATTTGTTTCAACTCTGTATTACAGTTTACTGAAATAAAAATAGTAGTAGCAGGTATGAATCTAGGATAAATATTGACCGATTTCCTAAACAAGTGCCAAAGTTTCTAGGGGGCTGGGGGCTAATCCCCTGGGAAATTTTTTTGATTTTAACTCCCTTAAGTCCCCTTTTCTGGCTTCCTGAGTCTTTCAGACAGGATGTTGGCCAGTTCCATTCTCCTGAGATGAAGCATTTTTACAATCCATTTTCCGGATTTCAACTTGGAAAATTTGTTATTTAAAACATATTTGTAATGAAAAATCTGACCGATTTCCATAAAACAGAGGAAACCAGTATGGATCCGCACCTGTTACTCCTTCTATTTTAAAGCACAACAAAGACTAGAAGAAATAAGCATTGTTTAACAACAGCCATGAGAACAGCCACAGAAATCACACAAACAGGATATTCTACAGGATATTCTTTTGCATCTCTGGGGATTTTTATGCGTCAGGGATGCAGGACGCAGAGTATAAAATAACTTGGAGATTTTTGAGGGTATTCAGAACAATCTGAAGATTTGTGGTGGTGCCTGGGTATGTTAACTTTAGATGGTATGATGAAGAAATACTTCAAGCAATTTCTAATGTTACTCAATTTCTTGTTTACAACAGACTGTTATATCATTTAATGCCGTCTAGAAATTTTTAAGGCTCGGAAATTTGGCATGGGATTTTTTGGGGTTAAATTTTTGGTCCAGGAATTTTTTTTGGTTTTGTTGGAAACCCTAGGGATTTTATGGGTTTTGATTTTTGTCCCCATTCGATCATTGCTGTCACTTGAAATCCGAGGTAGTGCACAATATTCAAGGATAGGTCGTACTAAAGTTATGTACAAAATAGAAAATGCTTTTTGATTTGTCGGTCCAAATATTCTGTAAACAATGCCTTAAATTGTATTAGCCTTGTTTACAGCAGCATCAACTTGAGCTCCCCTCGACGGGTCATAGGAAATCAAAACTCCTATCACCCAACATGTCATGGAGAACTTTCAAAATGTCACTTGTACACAAAAGTAATGAAATACTGAGGAAATTGAACTCAAAAACATGCGTACCGCTTATGTTATACACATTCCCAAGACATCGGGACAACTGGGGTAGAAACATTGCCCACTGAAATTTTCAGTAACTTTTCCCTTCCATTAACCTCATTTTATTAATGTGTGCTGATGTGCCAATTGTTTTTTTGCCATGCCCAGTGACAGGCATACATTATGCAAAAACAGCAAATTGTCTTATCTTTACTCAAAACACACTGTTTTCTGCTTTTTTTTCCTTGTTAGAGCATTGAGGGTGAAATGCTTGCAAAGGTAGTGGTACAGATTGCACGAGTTAATCAAGTTCAGCTAAACAAGCAGCAAACAGAGGAGAAGCAAAGTAAAATAGCAGAAGAAAAGTACAAGCTAAATATGGAGTCTCATATTGAGAAAAAGGAAGCTCAAATTCAAGCACTAATTGATCGGCTTCATGCCAAGGATAACCACATCAGAGAAGTGCAAGCCAAGTTACAGGAGATAAGTGTCTCACATGCTAAGAAGTTGGAGGAGAAGATTCAACACAAGGAAGCTGTGACCAAAGAGAAGCTTGAACTACTTCGTAAGGTTCAGACAGAACAATGGCAGGCTCATGAAAAGCGTATTCAAGAGGTCTTGGCCTCTTTGCAAGAGATCATTGAGAAGAATTCCAAGAAAGCTGAAGAAAATTTACAGGAGAGGATGGAAAGAACAGAAGAAAAGCGCCAGGCACAGATCCGCGCACTTCAGGAACGATTGCGGCTCAAGTCATCCAAGATAGAGCAAGCACGACAGTTTATGGATAAACTTGTGGAGGAAACAAAGAAGAGTTACGAAGAAAAACTCAAACAGAGGCAGGAACAAATGGAGGAGAAGCGGAATGCAGAATTGAGGAAAATACAACAGAAGGCAGAGGCCCATGACAAACATGTTGAAGAGGTGTGTCAAAAAGTGAAGACAAGAAAAGCGGAAAATACTCAGTGATGAGAAAAACATGTGGCAGGAACAAGTAACACAACAGCATATTTTCCTTCCTATTAAGTACAGTGTACTTTGTACAATTTTCTTGTCCATGAACATTCACTGGACAAAACCATGACAACATGTTTGGCCAAAAATACTAACCTTATGTGTCTCGTTTATATTTAAGGAATAAGTGAAACATTTGTTGCGTTAAACTATTGTACAGGTGAAGTATAAATGTTTTCAAAATATTATTGTTTGAATTAAGCAATGTTTGGTGCATGTTGAAATAACTGAGTTCTTTAAACACATGATTGACTTTGTTCAGGTTGTGGACGGGAACAATAAATTGCTTGTTTTCTTTAGTTTTGGTCATGTTTACCCTTGATAGAACTTGCGCTCTAAAGTGTCCACATTTCAGCGTGGGACAGCTAATAAGATTTTTAAAAAGAACCACAAAACTCAGACTCAGGTGAACCTAAGGAAA